TCAGATGTTTGGCATCATTAGTTCAGTGGACTAAATGTGAATATCAACCTCTACGACTCTGAGACCAGAAGAATGAGATGGTGCCTGGTTACCACTACCACTGTTCAGAATCACATTAGAAAATTCTGGAAAAAGTAGTAGACAAGGTAGAGCAAAACTCAAAGTTATTGTTTTAAAAAATTGGGCTTAATGGCCAGAAAGTGACTGAAAGAACCCAGCTATGGCTGTTGGTTACCCTTCAAGTCTAGAATGGAACTCATCCACATGGTCCTATTTTCAACCACTTGGTAGATACGTTTATAGAGGAGACAGCAACATTAGTGAGATATGCTCACCATGAAGTGGTCTACCATTCAAGATCAAAAGGGTTACATTTACCTGGGGACAAAGTTCAGAGGGGTTGGGAAAGTGGGTGAAAAGGAAAGAGGACCCACAAGGAGGAAGTGGGATAACTGTTGTTGCATGGAGGAGATTGCAATCATTGCGATGAAACACAGCATGTGATTTGTTGGATGCAAAACTGATGATCTTCTGTAAACCTTCACTCAATTCAGAATAAACAGTTTTTTAAACAAAAAAAATTCTAAATCAGAACCCACAGGCCAACTTCAGCCTACCAGCTTTCTTCATGAGATTTTACTGGAATCCAGACATCCCTCTGATTTCCATATTTTCTGCTTTTTTTGCACTACATTAAGAGTTGATAAACCATTTAGCCCACAAATCCTAAAATATTGGCTATCTGGCTCTTTATAGGGAAAATATAATGTCCCCTGAGCCTGGTTATCTCTATGGAGAAGTGCTTTACTGAGAATCTAAGTGCTGTATGGGTTGTTGGACAATGGAACTCAACAAGAAAAGGGTGACTGTGGTGGATAAGAAAGTGCTCCGGGTCATGTGTGTGTACAGTAAAGTGCCCCGGGTTATGTGTGTGTGTACAGGAAAGTGCTCTGGGTTATGTGTGTGTCTGTGTGTGTGTGTACAGGAAAGTGCTCCGGATTATGTGTGTGTGTGTATATAGGAAAGTGCTCTGGGTTATGTGTGTGTATACGGGAAAGTGCTCCGGGTTATGTGTGTGTGTACAGGAAAGTGTCCGGGTTATGTGTGTATACAGGAAAG